TTGATTGCTGATTTCACTGACACGTGGGAGGATCGCCTACCAGAAGTATGGCGCAAAGATGCTAAGCTTACAGCCATTGAAGGCTTTTATGAATTTCCTTCAGATACAACCATCAAGGCAAAGGGCAAGGCTGCATCGGCCCTGGTGGTGGACAACGGAACGACAGCTCTAAAGCCATCGGCGCGTAAGTGGCATGAAAAATTTGCCAAGACGAGAAACAAATAGACGACTCTTATTGTTGTGCTGGGTGATGAGGTCTCTATCACGTGATCGTATCAAGAGCGCGTCTATCGGCATCCGACAGCCGCGACTAGCGGCTTGGTAATATTCTGTAATGTTGTAATGCAAAATTGATAAGCTGCGACTGGCTAGTATTACACCCCCGCGTTAACATTCATGTGCGCCACCCAGATAACCAAAACTGCGATTTCGTACTTTCTTTCGGCGTAACTCTTTACCTAGCTTATGAAGAAAGTCCGATTTTTGGGACTACTCACTAGACCTACACGGACTTACTACACTAGAGTTCCAAGGCAGTGTTTTGCAACCAAGGCTACTCTCCAATACCCTGTGCCTCCTCCAGAAGCCATGTCTACCGTTCCAGGCGACAATGACCCAACTGCGCCCGCACCTCCAGTAGACAACGACGCCGCCGTCGAGCCCCCTTCTAAAGAAGAAAAGCCCCTACCTAAACTCACGCCTTCTGAATTCCGGCAATACAACAGAATGGCCGTGGAAATGAACCGCTACCATGAACACTTCCGCGCAATGTGGAAAGTCGTCTATTCAGCATGTGAAGTAGGGAAAAGGCCCGAAAACATGTCTATCCGCCAGTTCATCAGTACATGCAAGCAATTTTGCCGTAAGACTACTTTTTCTCATCATCTTCCCTTTTGTCCCACTCCAATACCAAGAAGTCGATATCAACCTCACCCCAACACCCCCCAATCCAAACGATTTTTATTAAAAAAAAAACTACTAACACTCACATCTCCCTCACAAAAGAAGGCCTAACCTTCCACCACACAATAGAAGAACAACACGTCTTCCCCATCCTCGCCAAGCGCATGCCCGCCTTCAAAAAAGAACTCGAACTCATCTCCCAGCACAAGCAGATCCACGTCGGCATCGACCGCGCGGAGAAGTACCTCCAAGAATGCGAGTCTGGAGAGCGAGAGCTACGGATGCAGGAGATGAAGGAGATTCTCGATTCGTTTGGTGAGGTCCTGTGGCAGCATCTTGATGATGAGGTTGAGCAGTTGGGTGCGGAGAATATGAGGAAGTATTGGAGTTTGGATGAGATGAGGAGGATTCCTTTGTAGATAGGTATGAGAAGATGAGAGATGTGGGATGTTGTTTTTTTTTCTTGGAAAGGGGAGGTTGAATAGATGTTTGAAACGCTGGATATAGACGTTTGAGACGTTATCGCTTTTCTTTTCTATCGTTTTTCATTTTTCGTTGTTAGATTCGCAAGATGTGAAATCAGATGCGTTTCTTGATACAATTCGCATGTCTGATATTGGCCCTTCGCGACAACCTTATCACAATTGACCATTTTTTTTCTGGTATTCGAAACACGGTCCCACGTCACTAAAACCTCGAAACTTTTGGCACTTGACACTGTCCAACCTTCCATTCTCGCTTCGCCTTACAGACCCTGAATCTAAGCCCTGTTTTATTTTTTTCCTTTTTCCCATCTTGACACAATGATACGAGTCCTTAGCACCTCCCAGCACATGGGATGCTAAACCCAACAGCACAGTACAAGCACTCACAACTTTCCCATTGCAAACATGGACGTAAAAAAATACCTCGAGAAATTGCACATCCAATTGATATATTTCACTACATACTATATTACACACCCGTGTGCAAGATCCAAAAGGAAAAAGAAAAAACATGCTACAGCGCGTTTGCTTTTGTAAGAGGAAAAGCCGGTGAACCTGGGTATGTCGATTAAAACAGAAAAAGAAAAAAAGAGAGTAAGCGAATGGATGTTGCTGGCCAGCAGTAGAATTAGTATAACGGATACCTCGTCCGAAATCATAAAGAGAGAGAGAGAGAGAAAAGGAAAAGAGACGCCACCGGAAGTCCATATGTAGTCGACTTATTCGGCTTGCGAAACGGTGAATCGAATCGGCCGGGAGAAGGCCAGGCGGGGCTCATGTAGTAATATTCAACCCGAGCAAAGTTTTCCTCTTCAAACTCAAGAAGCGCTGCGGACTCTTGAATTCCCAGTCGATTCTCGGTGTCCAGCCGCCCGCAGAGACCACATCTGGCAGGGTAGGCGCATCGGAAGCGCTTCGGAAATGGACTGGACTCGGAGGCTCAAAAGCATGGCTTCCAGCTGTGCTAGGGCGAAACCCGCTTCGCGTTGGACTGCGGGTTGAGTAGCTAAACGATGTGTCGGTGGGACTGGAGAGTTGTTGCCAGGGACCGCCTAGGCGTCGAACGATTCTTGCTTCTTCGCTTTCGCGCCATCGCTTTTTTTGCTCGGCGGTTGCGAAGACCGAGAGGGTATTTGTGGATTTGGCCATGAGGACGGAGAAACGCTCCGAGAGGATGGAGCTGCGCACGGATCTATCTGCTGTTTTTGGGCGGGCGTATGAACTGCGACCTGAACTTCGCCTTGTGTCTGGGACTATTGGCGGTGGCGGTGTGAGAGAGCCGCTTGATGCGTTTCCGAGATCGATTTCTATGATTCTGGGTGGTCCAAGTGGCCAGGTGGGTTTCTCGGTAGTCACCTCTCTGTCCTCTTCATCGTCTTCTTTTATTGTCCTGAGAGATTGGGTGTCATATCGTGTTTTATCCGAGGATGCTGACCGAGACTCTTGCTTCTCCACGTCTCGATGAACTTGCGGCTGAGAATAGCTCCCTTCACCATGGGCGCCGTCGGGTATATACCACCGAAGATCCACGCGAAAAATAGCATACATGAGGATCGTTTGGATTTCCACGAAGAAGTTGAAGAAGTAGAATGCTCCTTTTCCAAGATACCCGGGTAGAGGTTCCGACCGCGGCGTGGGGGCTTGCAAAATAACACCGCAGCGATACCATGCACCAAGGGCTAGAAGTGTTGTGCTGATGAGCAGAGTGAAAACTCTTGTGCGCAGTCGGCCGACGCCAAACTTGTCAATCGACGAATAGGGGGCGGTAATTGTAGCGAAAACCATAGGTAACGGTAGCGTGGCGAGAATGGCGAGAAATGTTGCACCGAATCGTTGGAGGCCTCGAGTAGTAGCCTGAATGTTTTTGTTGAGAGTAAAGAAACTTTGGACCGAGGCACTAATGACTGTGATAATCGTGAATACAAGCAGTACGCAAAGGACCTTGAACGCAATGCCAAAAGCAGGATGCCAGCCGAAAGAAGGATGTATGGAACGGACAAGGCGCATTGCGAAGACGATGTTAATGACGAACAGGATGACTACACCAGCCGAGACGAACATTTGCGCAGCTATCGCGAGCGAGATGCTCGTCGGATGTGACACTGATGCTAGCCGTACTATCGATGTCAAGATGCGCTCCATACAGAAGCCTAGCTAAGATGTCAGTATCTGGTATCCCATTCTTACAGCACTTAGATACTTACCGAACATAAATATGTTTGGCAGAAACTTGTGACCCCTAGATTTGTTCTGTCGAAAGATTCTCATATGTACAGCTGCTCCCATCACGAAGAAGACCAAGAAGATCGATTGCACTGGAAGGTCGACGCTTCTTACTGGAGACCCACCCAATGCCCATACTGTAGGGATGTATGGAGGACCTCGTGCTGCCTTCTTCCAAGTTAGTCAATAATTACTATAATCTTGGACAATGCCTTGAGTGGAATGTATTACTTACCACTGGTGAAGGCATGCCGCTCTGCGGTACCATTGTGCTCTTGTCCTGCAAATCACCTTTGGTAGTCTTGAAGGAAAACTCGAGTCAGCGAGAGCGCCGGAGTGCGTGAAGCGCCAGCACTTAAAGGGTGAATGTGCGGTTGGAAAGTCCAGAGAGAAATTTCGTGCGGAGAGCACTAAGTTTATCATACTCATCATTCTGCAATGTGACAGCCTTGAAAGGCTGGCACCAGCATTTGTCAAAACGGAAGTCAAACATGTGGGTTGTGACTTGTCCATGCGTCCAAACATTGCAATGTTTGATGTTGGGGTCTGAGCCGCGAGGCCAAAACACCGATCATTGCGCTATTTTAGGGCTACCGCTCCACTAGCCGGAATTGAGTATCTCCACACGGGATGACATCGTTGATCTGCAGTAGATCTTTGCGTCGCGTAAATGCCATTGGCCCTAGTTTTATCACTTAAGTATATGATAGTTCTTTGGGGAATAGCATTCATGAAGCATAGCACCTCGTCACATTTTAAAGTTGTGCTGAACAAGAGCTTTTCCGTTCCATATAGAGGTATTTTCATGAACAGCAGTTGTCAAGCTTTATTAATACGGCAGTCAAAAAAGAGGACAAGGGCATGAAACGCCACATTTACTTGTTGGTATCCGAACGAAACACTGATTGACTGGCAAATTGTGTACTCTGGGAACTTCTACCCGCAATTGCTATCTACCTGAGGCAATATAGTTTGGCTGACATCACGGCAGCGCGTAGCATTCACTGCTCCTGTTACCACGGGTAGTTGACTTATGGCGTCCCTTCCCGTCTCGCTGCAGCTCTCGAACTCAAAAACAAGAAGCCAATCATCGCACTTAGCGCAAGGCTTCACTGCAAGTTTAACTGCCCTGACTGTATCGCTTAGAGATATCAATTCCTCATATCTTTCCGGTTTATATTCTCATCCGTGGTATGATGACACTAAGAGCAACCGTATGCCGTCTAAGAGTTTATCAGCTTGATCTGCGATGTCCATTGATCATCATAGGAACCAATGATACCGTTCATGATGCGAAATCTAATGACTGGAGTATGAGGCTTCCTTTTCACTATTTGCTTCTCGATTATCGGAGTAGTATCGAACAGAAGTCACAATGCTAGAGAACCATCAAGGGCCACCTCTACATGAAACCCGTGGAGGAGAGAGAACTGGTAGTCTTCGCAAATACTCCGAACTGTTGACAAGTGTCAATTGCGTTGATTTTTGATCAATTGGCCGATTTTCAAGCCTATATAAGTTGCGCGATCCAGGAATCGGTCTTTTCCTTTGTATGGCGTATGAAGTATCGGGGGTTTTATCGGTAGGCGAAGGCAAAAGTCCGCTTCCTAGAGTGAGAGTATGAACAACGGCTGGTCTCTTTCTTCTGATCGACACATAGTTTCCTCGACGATCTGGCTGTCCCCTCGAAGCGGTCTGGAGCTCATGATCGATGTGCCCATCTTGAGTGACACAAACATCTCGGATTTGCTTTAGTATAGGGCTACGCGTCCCTTTAGGCGTTTCATCGGCTATAGAAGCTCTGTTTGGAGTTCTCTCTATGGGTGTGCTGCGCATGTCTGAGTGCTGCATCGTGTGGGAAAACCCCCGTTTTCCCAACGTGACTATGTTGCACATCTATAATCACATTAGAAGTAGAATGTGCCTTTTGTACATCAATCGTACAAGACCACCTAACGGACGCGTAATCGGTCGATTGAATTGACTGTCCTCTATGGGATCAGTTACCGCAATAGAATCAGAAAAAGTAACTTCCATATCCTAGAGTGTGCAGCGTTAGCGTCATACTAAGTGCCCATCTGCGACAGGCTCCTACACTCGATTGAGGCAACCCATCGCTTGTTGTAGTTCGCAAAAGAGCAAGCTGATGCACCGGCAGACGTCTTTTCCGAGTGGTCAAGTGTTTCTTCGCCTTCTCGGTCTTGAAAGAAGCCCCTGGTTTCCGTTTGGACGGTATGATACGCGTTGTGTCAGATAAGTGCTGTGATTTGTTTTTGTGTTTGCTGTTGGTGTGTACGCGCACGTGCACTGGTTGAGGTGGGGAGGGTGGGATATCGTAGATTGACATCATATGAGATTGTTGTTTGAGCAGTTGTATATCGCCTCATGAGAGACCGTTGGCTTTGATTGTTCATGCGCTGCGTCTGATCTGAGATGGGTCTGGTTTTTATTGGCGATTAAGAGCTCAACACGGTGTTGACAAGTGTGGTGTCAATGGTAGCGAACAATTCAAACCTTAGGCAATCACTACCCACCCAACTAGTGTCAAGGCCCTGATCCTTGTTACCTGTCTCGGCACATTAGACGAGACGGTGCGAAAGCAAACAATTATTGAAACTAGTCATCCCTCCTAGAAGAATATACTACATGACCAAAAGATCCAAGCTTTCAGTCCACCTACTCAAAGGTAGATGTAGCATAGAGGAGTACCACCTAGCGTATCGAACATATCCCTAATCCTCAACGTCTCACCGTTGATTCCCATATCCAATGGCTCATCGATGGTAGCGTTGCGCGTTGGGGGCTTGTTCTGCAGCGTCAAGGTACCAGTCACTTTGTTTGCCTCAGCCGGGTGGAGAACCTGCCAGATCCAATAAATGCGGTCAAGCATCGTGTGATGGAGGTAAAAGGCAGGGTCGTTGACAGAGGAGTAGAGATCTGTTGCGTCTCCGCCCATGGTGTAATGTCCTGAGGCGTGCAGTCCTAAGAACCCGTCTGTATACCGACCCAGAATTTCCTGCCAGAAAATGGGATGCGTTACGGATCCTGCACCGATGGTTACATTCAGCAGATTCTCCGTGGTGAACCACTTCTGGGGTATGTAGGGACTGAGATCTCGGCGCAGGCAGTGGGGGTTGTAGTCGGTAATGCCAGTCGCCAGATCAGTCAAGCCTTGCATTCCAGGCGAGATGGGACCAATGTTTGCTTGCGTACTGCAAATGTGTTAGTTTTTTCTCAATTTCCCATATCAGGATGTAGCCTCACTTTTTGAAAGGACCGCTCTTGACACACCCACCCCCTTTTCCAGAGGGAATTGGTATCAATCGACCGCCAGCAAGACTTCCGTTATGTGCAAAGAATTCGCCGTCACCACCCAAACTGGTATCATTCCCGTCAAAAACGGGGGACCCGTAGATGTTATCGGCATTTGCAAACCAGTCCCAGTACTAGCGGATGAGATATGGATTAGAGTGCGGAACTTGTAGGTAGTTAAGAGGATGAGACTCACGGGTTGGTAGCCTTTATATCCACATTCGTTTCGAAGAGCTTGTTCATAGGCCCATACAAAGTAGCGATGCCAGGTAAGGAAGGGTCCATTTCCATGTATGTACAAAGTTTGGTTCACGTGAATGGCGACGAAATCATCGAAGCGAGTCTTTGCTGCTGGGGCCCAGGACGGGTCAGACTTGGGAGGCAATCGTCGAAGACATTGTACTGCTTCGATGTAGGCCTTTCGGTCCTTCTTGCTCATATATTCCCTTTATAATATTAATGAGTGAAAAAAATAGTGCCTATGGATGACTTGCCAGCCTTTCCGTATGGTTGCAGTAGCTAGAGAGCAGCCTTTAGAATCCCTTTTGGAGATACTCTCACGCTGTTTGAGCGTTTCATAGGCATGTTGCTGCAGTTGAGCAAGAGCTTCGAGGGGTGCAATGGTCGGATCTATGTTGATAGTCGAAGCCGGCTGTGAATCGAGGGGAACAGCAGCTACAAGACTTGTTGCTAGCAGATGGTAAGAGGCAAGAGCATGAAACAGCCGCATCGTAACGTGGAGGCACTTATGCGTGGGACTTGACAGAAAAATCAAGACTGAATATCAAGACACGCATCAGTATTTTTATTCACACACCGAAGATGAATTTCACAAGGACTTGGACAGCCGGGCATACAGCCTGAAGTGAGAGTGGATGGTCGGCCTTGCATTGAATAATGGGGCGTCTCAAGGCAAACAGCCGATCAGATGCCAGTTACGTGTGTCGTTACTGGAAAAGCTCTGCACTACCCATGTATCATGTATAAGCGCTAGCGATCCTTTCGATGGATATTGCTGCATGTATATTGTCGTTCCTTTATTCGTTCATCTTGGAAGCGGCAAGCGGGAGGCCTAGAATCTGGAGGTTGATCTTAATACCAAAACCTCGGGACATCAACACAAATGCATCAATCTCCATTGATGGAATCTGAATTTTCCTACAGTGCTAGTACTTAACCCTGCTTTCTATACCCGGGCGTGCAATAGCAGCATGTAGCATGCCGGCAAGTTTACAACATCTAACCTTTAAAATAGCGCAACTTCCCCAGGACAATATCTACATGATAGTATCATTAGCATATCCGTTGAGACCCGTAAATCTGTAATTCCCTTCAACAACTCCACTAATCTGCAGCACACTGTGCCAAGCCACAACCTAATCGCCACAGCACAAAAGTCCAGAACAGGTGTGGCGAATCACCGCCATCGAGAAGTTTCCAGCCACACTTGCACCGCCACAATGACGTCGCACTCCCCGTATATATAGGCACCTTTTACACCCATCTCTCATCCCCTACAACACACAACCCCTACCTCATCATCACTCAAACAAATTACTCAAACCAAACTCGGAATAATTTCTACCCCTCTTAAACCAACCAAACAACCAGAATGCCTGTCCCCATGCCTTCAACAACGCAACAAACCTCTACCACGGCAGAGACAGCGCAAAACGTGGAAAACCCATCAACACAAAGCGTAGCCAGCGCCACCCAAACCCAAAAGACCGAGGAGGAAAAGGAAGCAGAGCGACGCTACGAAGAAGCAATTGAAGAGGAGTACGCAAAGCGTGAAGGAGGAGCTTAATTAACCTTCAACCTATATATAATATTTCTCTCGGCTCAAAATGATATCCACATAAACCCCCCTCCCAATCCAATCCAACCCCCAAATCTGCCTTCCCGTCTTCCATCTTCCACCATCCAAACTCCTACGTCTCCCCCAAAGCCTTCTTAAGCACCTCCCCCCTCCGCCCCGGCATATCCATACCCAACGCCAACTCATGCCCCCTCTCACTCATCTTCCCCCACGTCTTCCTCAGTATCCCAATAATCTTCTCCTCATCATGCTCCCTCTCAAACGCCTCAAATTGGTCATCTAGAAAAACAAGACACGCCACATCCTCCAGCACCTGCGTCTCTTCGTCTTCTCTAAGGTCTTCTTTACGTATCAGCGCGCCCACACGCTCGGCATCAGCCTCGCTATATCCCGCCTCTAGGCATATTTTGCTAACGAGCTCCGCCTGCCGTTTTTTGAGAAACGTGCGCCACGCGTGGTATCCCGGGCGTGTCTGCGGGTACGACGAGCGCGGCACTTCCCACCGACGAAAGTGCTGGGCGCGGATGGCGAGACGCAGTGTTTCTGAAGCGTCTGGGGCGCGCTGGGCGAGGTACGCGGTACATTTCTGTGCGTAGTGCAGTTCGTAGGGTGTTGAGGTGCCGTTGATGTCGACTTTGTTGGGGTCGAGGGCGTGTGCGGCGTCGATGGCGCTGAGGGCGCCGTCGTAGGGTGTTGACATCGTCGGCTGCTTTCGTTACAGGGTTTTAACGACGAAGGGGGAGATCAAGGGGGTTCAGGTGGAGTAGTGAGTAAACTGGTATATGATATCGCAATGTGCACACGGTAATGTAGTAAGCCATGTTATCGGCAGTGGGATTCATTCAATGCGGGAGCTGTGCAGAGATAGCGGCGCGGGGTGGGGTACATGTGTGCATGTGCCCCGCGATTTTGTTCAAGTGGGGGAGGAGGAGGGGGGGGATTGTCATTTTTTTGGTCCCTGTCGATCTTATTTGAATACAACACGACAACACACGCAAGGTCCAAACAGAAAAAAAATTAATCTCGCTCCTGGATTGGTAGCATGAGTGATTAGTTTTGACACCCCCAAAAGCTACATACTAATCACTGTTAATAAGCCTAGCAATCATGCAAAAATCCTTCTTATCACATGTTAAAAAGATTCGTGAGATATACCACGTGGCCAGACATGGTAATCTGATTCTAGTTGGCTCCCGCAATCCGGCAGTAAAGATAGAAACACATATATTCCCAAAAAGGGAAATGTTGGAAAACGGTATTGATTGCTGATATTTCGCGCACGTCATACGCCGTCAAATCGTCTATTCGTGCGGTGCCGCTCCGTTACTTCTTACGGCATATACTTTTGTGAGACACCCGCCGGGCACTAGTTCCAGACTTTAAGTCCGGAACGCCCCCTATTGCGGCACGCACATGTATGTTTACGCAATCGTACTAAAATCATCGTCCACACCCATGAAATTACCAGGGTTATTACAAAACGCCTAGCACGCGGGGAGTTTTTCTTCTTCTTCTTCTCATTCTATTGCGTTCATCTCCGCTCCTTCTCCGGGTGACATAACTCGCTCCCGTTTTCCCCACTAGTTGCACGAGCAAGACACTAGTCATACAGCCGAACTGTCCAGCCAGTTACACGTGGAGAACGTCGGTCTTGATCGGCGAAAATGGCAGGCACATGCATGCTGCGTCGGCAGAAGCTCTATACAAAGGGCAATCGACTAGTCTAGATAGTTTTTTTCCTACTGGATACGCTCGCCCAATGGCCTTATGCGACTCAGCTCCAGTTGTCGGGTGAGCTCTGGCCCCAGGAGCCGCTGTTCTGTTGCGGCATAGATGGCGGTGCTTGGAAGTAACTATTGGCGTCTGAGTGTTGCTGGTCTTGTTGAACCCAGCCATTACTCGTGTCATGCGCCGGCGACGAGGATGCCGCAGGACTACGGCCTCGGTTTGTATTCACTGGAATACCGGGCCCGTAGACCATTGCCCTTCTTGTCTGGCCGCCCGAAGGTTGTGGGAGCTCAGGTACTGGCTGAGGAGATGGAGTCGCCCATGTATGTTGGCTTGGGCTAGCATCGTATGTCATACCATGCTGCTGTGGACTTTGCCCGGAGCCATCATACGAGTTGTTGTATGAAAGTGAGCTAGTATAGGGACTTGACTGCTGAGGAAAGAGACTGGGCGGTGTCGCTGGCAGATTGGAATACATCAACTGCGGTGGTTGCGGCGACAAAGATGGCATGGATCCCCATTGCGGAGAGTAAGTCGTTGGCGCTGCCTGACTGCGCTGATGAAGCTGTGCTGAAAGAGACGCTGATTCGCGTTGGAATCGGTCGCGCCAGTGTATGAAACCAAATCTTAGTCCGAACCTAGAGAGTAACGTTGTGTAATCGTTGAGCGCATTGATGGCCCGGGTAGTCGGATCTAAGGGCAGCGACTGTCCTTCTGCCGGAGAGGGACTAGGGAAGGGGGGTGCATTGACCTGCGTGGGTGGGGCGAGGGGATCTTCCGACTCCACTTGCGTACCCGTCGCCGGTGCAGGAGGTACCGCCGGTCTCGCATCGAGGATGACCTCGAGATTCCGGGATAGAACATCTACGAACTGGCGACCGGTCATGTATGCCCGCATGGCATCGTAGTATGTCACTGGTGGCTTGACAGTGTGAGAGGGCTTGTCCAAGACGGCAAGGAGGTTGGTCGCATAGGCGATACAATGCTCAAAGATTAGGCGCTGTGCATATTCGTGGATATGGGGTATACGCGGGTTGGGTGACAGAATGTAGACATAGCTGTAGAGCAACTCCAGTTCGAAGAAAGACTTGACTGCCGGCAATGTACTCTGCGGCATATCTTGGAACCAGTCGGCCATCCTATTGTACTGCTTCCAGATGTATTGGTAAGGGTCTGGCCAGGGCTCGCGTCCGGACTGGAACAGGTCCATGTACCACTCTGACTGGATCTCGCGAATCTTGAATAGATCAATGGCAGTATCGAAGGATTGCTGGAAGAGGTGCGACTGGGGAGACGAGTATTTTGGCGACATGGGCGTGCTGTAAAAGGGGAAAGCTACGTTTGCTGCCTCATCCGAGAAGGAGAAAGCGCGCGTTTGGACGAGTGAAGTAGATCTGCATACAAGTCAGTGTGAAGGATGTAGGGCTGGCCATGTGCACGCGTACCTGTCTAGGGAGTACACACACCAATATACCCGTCGCCGTAACTCTAGTTTTGTGCGGGATATGGCTACGTTCTTGGAGGGGTCCTGGTGGATACCAAGGTCGACCATTGCTCTGGAAGCTGCGCCTACAAGTGTCCAGCTGTCGAAGTGGTGAGGGTCCATTGTGGCGTATATGGTCCAGAGGACCAGAGCTTGAATGCTGGCAATGTATCCCGGATGGAGAACTTCTTCGGCGTTGTCGAGTGCAGCAATCATGTGTCCAACTGCATCTGTGTAATGATTGTCTCCCCTGGATTCTGATTGGGAGAGACAGGCAATGGCCAGGACCATGCGGACACACCATCGGTCCCAAGGAGTGGAATTGTTTCCTTGTTGATAAACGGCCTCGACAGAAGAATATAGGGTGGCCTCTTCAAAGATGGGCCAAAGGGTGAAGACGTTGTTGAGGTAGTGTTGAATGAGTGGAGTGGCTGCGAACCTTGGAGGCAGCGGCTTGATCAAGTCACCTGATAAGGGCTCTTTTGTGCTGGCAGACCTGATAAGACGAGCATACGACATTTCTGTGGTGAAGCCATAAAAGTCTCTTGCAGTGGCATTGACGGCGCTGGTTGGAGAGTCAGCAGCGGCTTTGCACGGGGATCTCAACGGACAGCACTCACAGAAGACCAAAGTCGGATACCAGATCGTCAATCTCGGAAGCCTCTCTCTGTCGAGCAGCACGCTGGCTGACGGGTTTGGTTGCTTTTAGGGTGTCGGTAGAAGACCTGCGTGGGGTGGAGTCGTCGGACGTGTCGTGCATGATGATAACCGAAGACTTTCTCCTTGCTCTTGCTTCCTGGATCTTCTTCTCCAGTTTCTCGACCCTCGACTCGAGAGTAGCGACATAGCTGCGTTCCTTACCCCTTGCAAACTGGTCGTTTGTGCTTGAGCATTCCGAGGCGCGATTGGACTTTTCACAGGCAGTGCAGGCGGGCAACTTGCCGTCGCACTTTACTTTTGCAGCACGGCACCGGGAGCAGGCGGCGACGGGCCTGCTCACGCGGAGCAACGGGGTCTCAAGGACCATTGGTAGAGAGATGTGGAATGGGCAAGCAGCAGAGTTGGAGCATGAGAGGTTGCAAGAGAGGTCCGTTGGAGAGAGGGGCTAGCTCGGGCGTGGGGCGATACGTCAAGGCCCGACTGGGCACTACTTGTGGAGGTCTGGGTGGTGGTGAGACAGGGCAAGACAAGACGGCAGCAAGCACAGGCACAGCCAGCGGGCTCGGTGCAATGCAAGCGGGCAGGCTAGCGCAGGGAAGAGCCAGGAGTGCCAGTGTCGCGTGGGAAGGGTGGGGATGCGGTGCCGGGGGTGCGAGTGCAGTGTATGGTACTGAGAGGAGATAGCGTGGTGTTGAGCAGTGACCTCGTCACGGGTAGGGCAGCGGGCAGCTCAGGCTTGTACCGGACGGGGCATAAGAGCCGCCTATTGCGACAGTTGGTAGTGCCGGCTGACAGGTGACAAGAGGGCCGTGGATTGGATGCTGATGGCGCTGGCTGCGAGGTTCGAGGCCTGCGGGTGGCGGTGCCGCAGCCTACCCTTCCCTAGTAGTAGCCATGGCCACCCCATGCTGAGCCCTGGTCCCTTTTGCCCGTCTGCGTCCTTGCACTTCTTGTTCTTGTTCTTCTTCTTCTGCTGCTGCTGCTGCAAGCACTGGCTCTGGCACTGACGTTGGTTGGCATTGGTCTCGGAATTGGTCCTTACTATTGGCCCTGGCATTGGCACAGGCACTGCAACACAGCAACAAGCACATCATCACCCTCGCCGCCGCAGCACCATCTCCGGCCATGGCCGTGCACGCCCGCCCTCTCCCCACATGCCAGGCCGAAGAACAATCATAAACACTGCGCCCTCGTCGCTATCCTCGCCCCCGTCCCCCTCTCTGCTGCTGCTGCTGTGTCTGCCCGGACGGTGAGAGAGAGCAGCCATGGACGCCGCCTCGACTGCCATACAGACCAGCACCGAAGCCGCCCCGCACCCGGCCGACGACACAACCTCCTCCACCACCGGTTCCCAATCCCGCATAGCACATACCCTGACCGCCTGCTGCCGCTGCCGCACTGTAAGTATCCCTCCCACTGAAAACTGTAGCCCCAGCCTGACACGTCTCCAGCGCAAGACACGTTGCGACCCTGGCCTCCCCCGGTGTGGGCCCTGTGAGCGCACAAACTCCCACTGCGAGTACTACGACCCTGCCAAAGGCCGCAAGATACCGCGCAATTATGTTGTCCATTTGCAGCAGAAAGTCCGCCAACTCGAGAAGCAGCTGGCTGACCTCGAGCGAGACGATGCCGAGCCGGACCCTGAGGATGTCATGCGCGGGGCCGCCACTGTGCGTGTCCAGGACTCGGACGAGTCAAAGTTTCTAGGCCCCTCGAGCGGCATCACCATCACGCGCCTCGTCATGCAGCTGGCCAAGCAGTTTACAGAGTCCAAGAGCATTTCCGAGATTGTGCCACACTCGCGCGCAAAGGACATCAAGGACACCTTCACCCAAGAAGATCAGCGACCCACCTCCAAGATATACTCCATGGTTAGTGATGTAGCGGCAGAGGAGCTGCCCAGTAGAGAACTCACCAACTTGCTCGTTGAGCTCTTCTACTGCAAAGGCACGTTGTTCTTTCCTTTTGATAAGCCTGCATGAGCTAACCGCTGATAGTGCACCCCATGTACCCCCTCTTCCACGAGCCCACGTTTACAAAGGACGTCGACGATGTTTACAATGGCTCCACAGACCCTTATCAGAACTACTGCCTGCGCATGGTCATTGCCATTAGCCTGCAGAAAATGGACACGCAGTGGGTTGGTCTAGCCGACAGCTACTACCTCGCAGCCCTCAAGTACTTCGAAGCCGCCATCAAGCCCATGAACCTCAAGACGCTACAATGCTTTGGCCTAGTAGCAGGCTACTCTCTTCTAACGCCTACAAGAACCGCCGTCTATTACATCATTGGCCTCGGCGTGCGACTGTGTCAAGCATTGGGCTTGCACGAAGAGAAGACCATTTCCATGGGCCCAGGTGGGCGTTCAGCAGACCCCCTGGAAGTCGACATGCGCAGGCGTCTATTCTGGAGTATCCTTACCATGGACTATGGGCTATCACACAGTCTAGGCCGACCCGCCCACTTTGCCACGCGCCGCGAACACATTGACGTACAATTTGGAGAACTTGTCGATGACTGCTACATCACCAGAGAAGGAATAAAGCCCGCGCCCCAGGCATCACTCAAGAAATGGATCGGCCAACACTTCTATAAGATGCGCTTGCTACAACTCGAAATACGCAAGATGCTGTACCAAAAGAAGAAACCCGAGCCCAAAGATGACCAGCACCCCTGGTTTGCTCAGATGCTAGCAAAGATTGAGGCCTGGCGAGACACGAGTCCGGAAATGGACGGCGGCTCGGGTTTGAACAAGGTTTGGTATGCAGCCCCTCCATTTTAAAATACACGCCAATACTTACTTACCATGCAGGTTCATTGGACGATACAACACCATGGTCGTCTTCATGTACCGCCCTTCCCCACAAGTCCCCCGACCGTCGGTCGATGCTGCGATCCGCTGCTTCGACGCATGCCGGTACAACATCTACATGACCATGAAGCAGATTGAGACCAAGAGCGTAGACGTCACCTGGATCTTCACCCAATCCATTTTCATGTGCATCAACACTATGCTCTGGACCCTGTCTTACTCCGATGTACGAAAACTCCACAGTCGGGAAGAGGTCGAAGGCCATCTCGTAGTCGCCATGGAGTCAATTAAACAGGCGTCTGAACGATGGCCCGGTGTCGAGTCTGCTATTGGCCTGTATCACAACCTGATCAGCGCATGCATGAAGATCTTCGACAAAGACGGCGACGTCCCAATCTCGGCTAGCTCACCATCCGACACTGCATCAGTAGCAAACGGCAACGTAGATGGTATCAACCGGTCAAGAACTACAAGTCCAGCAACAGCGTCCACGGCATCGGTGGGCACACCGTCCGACAGGGTGACAGCGCCATTCGGCTACATACCAAGCAATCAACCGCTCTTCAACTTTGGCAATGGACAGACGAATGCACCCGCCCCATTCTCCAGTGCGCAAAGTGTGCAGCAGGCTGATTTGCACTCATCACCCCAACAGCCTCCATCCATGACATACAATGATATGAGCCCGAAAACGTCGGTCGATTCCAACATACCCATTTACACTCACCCATCCACCACACAATTCAACTCGCTCCCTACAACCTTTGCGGAGCTACCTCAATGGAACCCGACTTTTACCATGCCGCCCCAAGACAACTACAACATGTCCATGGCCTCACCTTTCTACAATGAATCGTATGCGGCCAATCAGGGCTATGAAATGGCCGATTATCTCAATCCAGCCTGGAGCCAAGACTCCAGAGGGACGGGACTGAATCAGCAACAGCAGATGGAGCTGATGCACGATTTCGAGATGAACGAATCCAAGAACATTGAGATGATGATAGAACAGAGCCACCAGCTCTTCCGGCCCCCGCAGCTGCACAACTACTGAATCAACAAAAATTACCGTTGATGAACTCAACCTACACATTTTACGCGCCACGAAGAACAAGCAGACATAACCCATTGACCTACAGACACGAACCAACGTGCGATACCAGTGTCTACCAGGAGTAGACTTGTGGACTCTGCACAACTTTAGTCTGGGTGGAAGGATTCACATCCGGCTTGGCAAATTGGCCCTAACAAGTCGGGCTCGTAGATCCCACTAGCCAACTCGTGTTGAAGCTGCTGAGAATGGGCAGCTCCGATACCTTCTAGGAAAGATATTCATTGATTCGGGAACTCAATTTTTCCCTGTGACATCTTTCCGAGGTTCGGCACGTGGCACTAGTGACCAGAAGAAACCTCGCTTAGATAAGGTTGCTTCGCGAGTCGTGAACCGTTGTGTATCGGGCTTGAAGCGTCGCCAAAACCTCGGTAAGTCTGGAGACGCTAAAAGCTTGTGTCCACAACGAGTCAGGAGGGGGAGTCATGTACTGACCCAGACTCGGAACGAGGTGAAGAGAGTACTAGCGGTGACACCTAGGGTCACGGGCATGATGGCTCGAGGATATGGCCAGCCCTGGACCGTTTCTAGACCATGTGGATTTTGACACGTCTTGGTACATCTCTAATGGCACGACATACATTACATGCAGTGTTGTTTCAAAGTCGACTGGGGTCTTGGTAAGAATGGGCTGCACGTTATACTACTCAGTGCTGCATGTACACACGATGAGATGACGGAATATGGGAGCAGAGATTTTGATGTTCTACATGTATGTATACTTAGCTCAGCTGGCCTGAATTAATTACTCTCGTCAACCAATACCGTACAAACCACCGCGACCCATACGTCTATTGCCCCTAAGCAAATGATCATGCTCGCCGACACGACGACTACCAGATAACGTAGCAATCATCGTTACCTTGATCCAGCAGAAACAGCACCAATAAACAAAAAAGAACCCACGAATCTCCTCTTGCAAACCTGTCTCTCCTTGATCCATTTTGCAGCACCCAGCACACCCAACCCTCAAACCCCAAGAAAAAAATGAACCCGAAAAATCAATCAATCAATCAATCACTGCCCCCTCCTACCCTCTCAAACTCCCTCTCAACCCACTCCATCAACTCCTGCACAACCTCCTCAACCCCCACCCTCACCCCCCACTCCCGCCAAACCTGCCTCAACACCCCAAACACCCAATTGCCGCCACTCATGACCGTAACATGCTCCCAATCGAACACGGTCGGGCGATTGTCTTGTAAATCGTCAACGAGATGCAGAAGCGAAAAGTCAGGTGTGATGGCGTAGTCTTGGCTGATATTTTCGAGTGCGATGGTGGCGCCGGTGTGGAAGTGGGGGAGGGCGCGGGGGGTGAGTGTGGGGGGGTAAGGGGGGAAGGATAGGGTTGGGTGTTTTGAAGTTGGGTGGGAAGGGGGTTGTGTGGTGGACTGGGAGGGGGAGTGGTAGATGGATGCTGCGAAGGCGGCGAGTTGGCGGGTTGTGGGAGATGGGGAGGGGGATGGGGAGGAGGCGGCAGAAGAGATATAGAGAGGGGGGCGAGGAGTAGCTGTCGTGGGTTGTGGACATGGGGATGAAGGTGCGGAAGAGGGGGAGGATGATGCGGAGAAGATGGAAATGGGGGGACTGCGAGGTGGAGGTGGTGGCGTGATGGGGGGTGGTAAGGACGAAGTTGCCGGAGGAGAAGGAGAGGGTTGGTTCGTGGTGGAAGGTGGCTTGACTTCTGACTCCCTTGGTTCTTCTGGCGCCAGTCTGACATCTTCCATATGAGAGTCGCGGGTAGAGAGTTCAGTGAATATGCGTGATGCCCCTGGTCGTACTGATAGCGTAGGAAGACCGAGGTTGGGAATGGGGATATTGAAGTTTACAGGCGGCTCTATTGGCTGGGCTGGCGGTGGAATGATAATTTCGTTGCGTAGAGGCGATGCTGCAGGTACTTTTCTAGGTCTTCCTCTTCCTCTGCCTCGCCCTCGGCCTCTTCCTCTCGCGGGTCTGACAGGTTCACTAGCTGCACGTGCTTCTCTTCCTGCTGCGGGTCCTGGTGATTGGCTGACTACACTTGATGCTCGTTCTGGGGTTGCTGGCTTGGGAAGAATGGGTCTAAGGTTGAAGATATGGCGGTGTGGAAGTAGGTCGCCTACAGTCGCTGACAACGGGGGAAGGTTGTGAGACGATGATGCGGCTTCCGGGTGGAAAGGTGCTAGTGTAATATATTCCCTGGCTTCTCCTTCCAAGGTATTGGCTACACCTGGTGCTCCTGCTTGGTTTGGCAGTGGAGGAAATCTGCGATTGGGAAAGGCAGCTCCTGGGGGTGGAGGCAGTGACTCGATCTGTGGCAGTGACGCGGGAACGTTGGGAGAGATGACGAGATCCCCACGGCCTGCAAGTAGTCGTTCTAGTTGTTGTATTGATTCAGGAAGGTTGGGAGAGATAAAAAGATCCCTGGGAATTCGAAGCCTTACTTCTGCCGAAGTGGGAAGATTACAACTGAGAAACTGGGACTCATGGCGTGGAGGAGGAGGATGGGATGTTGCAACTTTCACTTCCTTGTCTGGTCTGCCTTGTTCCACAGATTTCTTGAGTAGACACGGTGCTCTTGCTCTTGTTGGTGGCGTAGGTGTTTCTGATGCCCCGGCTTGCGTTGGCAATATGGGCACACTTGTTGCTCCAGCTTCTGTTGGTGACTTGGATGCGCTTGGTGCACAGGCTTGTGTTGGTAATATGAGTACACGCGGTACCCTTGGTATTGTTGGCAACTTCGGAAGGCTGAAGCCGTCAGAGGAGCTATTGCGGCGTGGAGGCCCTGCTGTAAACATCTCCTCAGGTCGTGGTGGAGGTACACGCCCTGGTTTCATAAGCGGATCTGTGAACCTCGATTCCCTGTCAGGTTGACTGGCATTGCGTAAAGCATATTTTCTCTGGAGACTTTCCAAACGTGATTGTTCTGCCTTTGGCTTGTCTTGTTTCTTGGTGGTCTGCTTGAGGATGCTGGCTTGGTTGTTTGAGTTTTGACTTGCACTGGACTGGGTGACACTAGCTTGTGTACTAGAACCTCCCTGTGCATTGGAATCATTCGAGGTATTGGCCCTTTCGAACAAGAAGTCGTCGACTGGTGTGGCACTGCCAGCAGTGTAGCCGTCTGAGAAATGGACCCTCTTCACGTGAGGGGTTCGTTCTTCGACCGTATAGCTCATGCTAGGTGAAGTACCTGTAGAAGGTAGTTCCATACTTGTCGTTCTAGTCGTAAAGAAGCGGCTGTTATAATCGGGGAAAGGATCAATATTTCTGGGCAGTGCGTTTCTGCGATCAAGTGGTCTGTTGGACATATCGCGAGTCTTGAGTATGTTAGCCTTGAACAATTCAAGAAGATCTTCTGGGGATGGGAACAGATACGCCCAACAACTTGTTGCTGTCACTTGTACTTGAAACACGCAATTTCACAATCATGGAGGGTGGAGCGTCTGCTTGCTCCTTCATCTTGGGAATATTTTCGGGGGGTCCGTAAAGACGATGCTTCGGATCTCTCTCAGATGTATCATTGTCAAAATGCGCGCGACGCTTCCGAAGCCGCCTCGCTTCGACTGCACCCGCGACCATTGATCGTTCCAAAGTCACTGATCTCGAGCGCCTGCCCCTGCCAGAGGCAGCAGACCGACGCTCGAGATCGGACTCTGGCTCAAGCGTGTGCTCCGTCGCATCGGCTGGAGTGCTTGTTCTTGTCTTGGATGATGGCATGAGCCGAGCGTCCTTGTCCATGTACACGAGTGCAATTTCTTCCAGTGCATCGCGCAGGAATGTGACAAATGGCGGCGTCTTGCTGGTTGCTTCGAAGATGCCGGACTTGAAGGCATTGTCACATATCTCAAGGGCTCGGGCTCGGAGGTCAGCAGGGAGGCCTTCGTCGATTGCAATGGCATGTCTTCGTTTGAGTAGCTGTCCTTTGGCCTTGTCATCACTCAGAGTGCCTTCCCTGATCGCTGTCAGTAACTTGGTGTTATCCATTGCTCCGTGGATTAAGGCTCGATACGGTCGAGCGACGAGAGGTCGATGAATATGTTGGAAAGAAAAGGTACAAATGGGGGTGTACAAACCTTCGTATATACTGTGTGTGGGGTATCTTAGCGAGACTAACAGACTGCAAACGGACTTGCTTACCAGGCAGTGAAGGGGAAAGACGCCAAGACCCTACGGTAGTGAATGCGAGACGTATACTCTACAACTGCAGCTGAGGACTATGAGTTACAGGTATCATTCCTTTAAGTAGCTGGATATCTATACCAGCAATTGTAGTAGGTATCCTCCAGACTATGAATATTTGTGCCGTACTTTGAGTAGTATCTGCTTTCGACAGAACATAACGCAAATGGTGTGGCGCAGACATGACTGCGCGTTTGCAGCCTCTTATAACGGCAAATACCAACCTTTTTGATTTCATTTCGAGGTGAAGGCCGCTAGTTATGAGTATAAGATACGGTTTGACAGTGAGTCAAAATACTTGTAGAATGCATGCACGTGAGCTTAGAAGGGTAACCCCATCCTCACACGGACTGGACAGTACGTGTTGTTTTACGGCCAACAGTGTCTGTGAACTATATGCCACTAACATATATCATAGCCTGTCTATAAAGTTTTTGAATAGCTGTGCAGAAAGTCCTTATTATTAGTCGTCTTCCCGACGATGTACCAAATCCGTAACTCACTGCTCCCGACACGTGATTGGTCGTTCGCTTGCTCCAGTGTCGAGTCTGAGGCAGCAAGCTATGTCATGTGCGCACGCTCTCTCGGAGTGAAATCGATGCATACAACCAAATTCAGATTGCTTTTATCATCATTCATTATGAGGAGCCGAGTCTAAGCTCATACTAGCATGTGTTCCATATTCTGCGGATCGCCATCGACTCGGGAAATCTAACGTTACAAAAAAAACCAAAACGCCAATCGATGCCAGACGCCACCGCTAATTTTCTAACCCAATGGATGTGAGGAGATAAGTGAAGGAAAATAAAAAGAAAATCAAGTGATCTACACCACTTCATCTGATTGAGGAGTGGCAGACCGATCGCTGAGGGAGCAGATCGTCCGTGCCTCCCGCATATCAGCCTTCTTCGCATCTCTCACTGCTGCGTCAACAGCGTCGTGAAGGTCGAGATGAAAAAAGGGCCTATCGATGCCATACATGGACTCGAAGCGCCTCTTCATGCCTGAACTACTCGTATGAACCTGTGTCTCACTCGACTCAGCGGTTTCTTTACACGACTCTTCATCTCGCACACTAGCGCTTCCTTTCACAATCTCCATTTCTTTGCGCTCTTCATCGGTCGCGCCAGCCAGGCTTGTAGTAACCGTGTACGCAGGACACCAGTTACTCATGCTATCAACGTTTGTAGTTGCAGGAAACCCGAAACCCGCAAAGGAAAGCGCTTTACGTGTCCATCGATTGTGTACGCCAGCGAAATGCCACTCTACCAAACCAGGTGCTGCATACCGGTCCAGCGTATCGCGCAAGCCTTTCAATCCGTCGATGCTGGTGATATCGAGGATGTTGACGGTGGAAAAGTCGAGTACCACTGCTCGTAGAACTGGCAGTGAGGCAGACTCTTGGATGAGCTTCTCCGTAGGTAAGGCGTCGCACCAAAGGCGGTCGTGATCACTGATGCCGTCGTCTGTTCGCGTTCGGCGGGTATTTGACTTGATGTAAGAGGTAAGATGATCGACGTGGTAGGCTTGGTTGATGTAGTTGAAACTCTCGCTGAAGCGGTAGATGAAAACACCAGGGTATGCAGGTTCGATGGTGATATTCGGGTTGTGGTTGTCTTTGACGTCGTAGGGAATGTAGACCTGGCGCATTCCTTCAACATGTTTAATATGGCTAACCAGCGGGACGTCAAGTGTTTCCGCGGAAGATGCTTGATCGCATGGCAGATCTTCACGCACAACGCGTGTCACTCCCACCGAGCCACGGAACTTGCCTGGGCTCTTAGCGATGCGCAATAGAAGCATAGCGAAGGAAAGACCGACGGTTACATAGATGGCTGTCTCGAGGTTGGTAAAGAAGGCGATGACAACACCACATACCCAGATGAAGAGTTCGAATGGGGATAGTTGGTAATACTTGTGCAAGTCCTTTGGGCCTTTGATCAAATCAACAGTGGAGTGGATAATGATACCAGCGAGTGCTGCGTTGGGGATGTAGTGGAAGACTGCAGTAAGCGCGTACAGTGCTAGTACCAATACTAACGCGCTGAAGACTCCAGAGAGTGGAGTTCGTACTGCTGCTTTGGATAACACAGCAGAAGCACCAAAGGATCCAGTACAAACATAGCCACCGACAAATGGACTAAGAAGATTGGCGGCACCCTGTGCAATCATCTCTTGGGAGGGGATGACAGTGTAGTTATTCTGGCGACCAAAGCTCTTCGCAATGGCGATGTGTTCGACAATGAGAATGATGATCATAGCAGGCAGCTCAGAGGCAACTATCCCAAAAAGTTCGCCATTCATCGGTGGTACGCCAGCATGACTGAAGCCTTTCTCGATGCGGCCGACAATACGAAATTTCTCTTTGCCTGTAGGCATCTTCCGGTTGACCAACCAGCTGACAAGGGTGTAGAGCAGTACGGTGAAGGCAAGACGCAATGAGGATATAAGGGACCACATCTTCTTTTTCCGCGATTGTCGTACCTCCATCTTAGCGCAAGTATTCTTGATAAGATACAGGAGGATGATGGATGTAATGCCGATAGCCGCGTCGAGTTGTGCGCGAGGCAGACCCTTGAGAAAGTTGACGTACACCTTATATGGAGACTCGCGCGTATTTATGCCCTTCACACCCATCAACGTCGGCAGCTGGGTTGAGATGATTGTGATGCTTGCTGATGTGATGAAGGCCGAGATAGGTATGTAAGGTATGAATTCAATGATGAAGCCAAGGCGGAGGAAACCAAAGGCGAGTAAGATGGCACCAGCCAAGAAGCTTATGGCATGAGCCACTTCCTCAGGCCTGTACTTTCCCGGATGGGAAGTCTCGACCTTACTGACAGCACTACCAATCAGGAGTGATCCAACGGCAGTAGTCTATATTTGGGTCAGATACGAGCGTATTGAGATGGAGAATTTGACTTACACCTATGACAATGTCTCTTGAAGTACCGAATATCCAGTATAGACATGCTCCTGTAAAGGTAGTGTAAAGACCGAACGCAGGCGACAAGCGAGCAAGCAATGCATATGCTACTCCCTGGGGAACGACGACAAGACCCACAGTTATTCCAGCAATAGCATCACCGGCTAGCCAATGTAGGTTGTATCTTCTGATCCAGCGCGCACTCGGAAACACTTGGCGAAGATACTCGACCATGCCATGTGAAGTCGGAATCAACTCGCGAAACCATTCTGCCACCGATGGGTCTTCTTCGATGTATGTCTCCCCAATAGTTTCGGTGGCGATGTTCTTGAATGTTTCTGTCTGTGCGCTACGGTCCTCGGAAAAGGTTGGTAACAGTTTCATCGTTCAGGTATTGGAAATGTGCTGAAGGACTCAGAAGAGGCCAAGGCTATTAGAAAGGATATTCTGCTTGCACGAGCATGTGTAAGAGACGTAATAGTTGTTGGTTGTGTGGCAGTAGCGTCGGGCTAGAGCATATACATGTGCTTTGTAGGGTTCCAGGAATGATGCAATGACTACGAAAAGTATGGGGAAACCGTGCAGGTTATGAGTTTATCGATAATTGCTTGTCCTACGGCTGTCTGCACGCTCTTTTCGCAGAATTTTATCCACTATCATGCGTTTGCACCTGGAGCATTTGGCCGACGAGCCGAGAGGCCGGGCGAGAGGCCTTGGCGGCATCGACGCACCACCGGACACGGCGACTCAGTGTCGAGACCGACTATCTCCTACGTAAGTCAAATGCATAGTTCAAAGGTAATACGAAGTCACCGACATACCCGCAGCACTGGTAAGACATGAGTGCATGTGATGTATTCGTAGCTTTCAGAATCAGTGCTCGCTCAGATGTCTGCGTAGGCACTGCGACCTCACACTGCGCCTCTCTATGGATCTACATTCACATCTCCACAACCGAGATCGACGATAGGGAGTCGGTGTGACAGACGGGCGATAAGATGGCCCAAGGATCGATTGGACAGGAACGGGCATGGCATTCCAGCATGGTATTCCAGCATGATGGTGGTGAGCCTCCGGTGAGGCGAGGCGTCGCTGTCAATGCCAAGCTTCCCGACTCGCATCCTATAGTGAGGGCCCACATCGGGAAGGAGGTCGTGCACACTGCGGGGAGGCGCTACTCGCCATCACCGGCTCCCTATCTTTCTATTCACTTGAGACGTTTCTTGCCCTAGGACGGTTGGGTAGCTATGTGTTCGCTGGCCGTGTTAGCGAACTCCGAGTACATCGACATTCATACATAGCTTTCTGCGTTGACCCCCTTAATCAGTAACGCACGGCCTTGTGAACTACTCCTATAGCCCCAATACTAGCACTTCGGAGGCGACTTTCCCTCATCAGCATATCCTCAATTACTCTCACCGTCGTCAATGACCGATGTACTGTTCCCATCCGTCTCCCATTCGTCTTCGTCACCATTCCCCTCACCGTTGTTTCCATCGTGGTTGTGGTTGTGTTTGGCATCGCCGTCTTCGCACAGACAGCAAATGCACTCGTCCGGCAGACCTTCCTCTACCCTCCATTTGCGCACAATGCCTCGCCCCAACCGCTCTCCACGAATGCAAGTGCCGTCTACATAGACTGATAACGACTCGTCGCGATTTTTGGCAAAACCAAGCTCACCCGGCTCCATATGCGCGAAGTCGGTAGCTGAATGCTCCTCGTCTTGTTGCTCTTCCTCCTCGGGCTCTTCGGCGTCTCGGTCCTCCATCTCGTTTTCGGCGTCAACCCAATCCCCTGCAACTTCTCCCTTGCACCAGTTACAAAGAATTTTTGGCTGTGGACCCGCTCCGAAACTCGCCCCACAGGCACATAAATGACG